AAAGCGGCAAGGAACCGATGGGTTCCCACCAGAATTCCTCATTCCTCACCAGCCATCAACTCTGAGCCACCTCTGGCCACCTAATCCAGGATTCTTCTGGAAAAGGAGCCGGAAATCCCAGCCCACCCTCACCAGAATGATTATCCAGCTTGAAATACTAAAGAGATGGGAAAATCCCAAGGCCTGACCTTGGTCTGAGGGTCCTTGGTGGAGAGGACGAAGGTCTCCTCCGGGGTTGTGATGCGTAGGCTGTGCCTGGGAGGGGGAAAAAAAAGGATGGAAAACACAATTCCCAATCCATCAGCTCTTCCCATTCCCCTCCTGGAGATCCTGGTGCTTTCCCAGGTGGTTCTTCTGGAGACATCTCAAGTTCTCCAGGGCTGGATTGACGAATTTTGGGATTCACTGGCAACGAATGGGATGAGAGGGAACAGCCTCAGGTTGTGCCGGGGGAAGGTCAGGCTGGACAGCAGCAGGAATTTTTTTATGGAAAACGTGGTCAGGCTTTGGAATTGCCCGGGGAGGTTTGGAGTGCCCATCCCTGGAGGTGTCCAAGGAATTCTGGGCTGGGAACAAGGTGGGGATGGGACACAGGTTGGATTTGATGATCCCAGAGGGCTTTTCCAACCTCAGAAATTCGGGGATTTCAATCCGGCAGCAAAGATCCCATTATCCACATCCCAATCCCACGGCTCGGAAAGGAGACGGGACAAAGCTTTGGATCACTTTCCCATCGGCCTGAACATTTTCATTCCTTTGATTTCACCCCCAGTGGGAATTTCTCACTCACAGTCCCGGAGCCGATTTCTCTCCGCAGTTTTCATCCACCCACACCAGCTTCAGATCAAAACTCTGGAAGCTGTTTCCCTGGAAAAAAAAAAAAAGGGGGAAGATGCTCCTGTTCTTGCTGGAAACATCCACGGAATGGCAGAGCTGGAGGGGCAGCACAAATTCCCAACTTTTTGAAGGTCCACCCATCCCAAATCGGGAGGAGAGACCCTGGAGATGGAAAAGCCACCAGGAAAGGAGGGAAGATCTCGTTTGAACACTCCTAAAGCTCTTCCAAAATTCCATGGCCACATCCAGGAGTAAAACATTCCCACACGACCCTGATCTCCACAGGAATTCCTCCCCTATCCCATGGCAACATTCCCAAATCATTCCGGCCAATATTCCCAGAGATTTGTGGTTGCCCATCCCTGGAAGTATCCAAGGAAAGGTTGGACAAGACTTGAAGCAACCTGGAACCATGGAATGGGGTGGGAATGGATCATCTTTGAGCTCCCTTTCCATCCAATCCATTCTGGGAATTATTTAGGATTTGGACTCCGGGTGGCACCACCAGAAATATCCCAGAAATCCCAAATTTAAGGAGTCACTTTTGGGATCAGCAGCACCCAAACAAAACAAATTTCGAAGATTGGAATAAAAGGAAAATATTAATTTCTCATCTCTTTTCCCTGCCTCCCATCCAGGTGTTCACACAGAGCTGCTGCCTGGTGGGATGGAGTTTTCCAAGGAATTCCACTGTGTTTTCCCAGGTTTGGGAGACCAGAAAAGGTCTCAAAATTCCATCAAAATTCCCAATCAGGCCAATCCCAATTCCGTTGGAATTCCCAAAGCTCCATAAAGGTCGGCAGGAGCAGGTGAGACACAGATGGAAATCACGGATTGAACATGGAGATAATTCCATGGATTTGCTGATCCCGCGTTCCCATCCCAGCCACCAGCGTGATCCAATCCGGAATTCCCTCATGGGAACAAACCCCCACACCCCAAAATTCCCAAAATAGCCCCAAAACCACCTCCAAATCTGAGGATGTGGCACAAACATGGAAAATCCCGTTTATTCCAATGCGTGGGATCCCATGGAATGTCAACCTTGATCCATCAAATCCCTTGGGATAACCAGGGGCCAAAATTCCCCTGTGGAAAATGGTGTGGACCACTCAAAAGGTGCCTGTGATGGTGGACAATCCACATTTCCTGGGAAAACGTCCTGTGGATCTCCTCGACTCCTTCCCAGATTTCCTTTATTTTCCAGACCCAACCACACGCAGATGGATCCGAAAAGTTTCCCCAATTTTCCCAACAGCCAAACTCTGCTGTGAGTCCAACATCAAAAAAACCTGGAATTTTACCCCCATTCCTATGGAAATCCCTGTCATTTTTCTGCCATCCCACGGGAATTTTTTTCCATTTATCCGTGTCCCCCTTCCCAGGAGGATCCCGGGCTCACCTGGATGAGCACCAGGACGTCGTCGAAGAGCAGGAGCCGCTCGGAGCGGGCGGCGCCGGACGCGATGGGAAGGTTCCGGCTGTCCTCCAGGAGCCTCCGCTCGGGAACACACAGCACATCCTGGAATTTGGTGTGGATTGGGAATTTGGTGTGGATCAGGAATTTGATATGGATGAGGAATTTGCTATGGACTGGGAGTTTGATAAGGATCAGGAATTTGACATAGATTGGGAAAAACCGGGATTGGGAGAGGATGTGGAATTCCAGGCAGGAATTCCTGTCCTCTCGGGGGACACACAGCACGTCCTGGAATTTGGTGTGGATTGGGAATTTGGTGTGGATCAGGAATTTGAAGTGGTCTGGGAATTTGATATGGATCA